ACAAATGTAAACGGGCTATAAACACGCGTGGGAATCTTGTGTTTAGGTGACGAAATTACCATCCAAGCAGTCCTTGAGTTTTCTTTACTAGTTTTCGTTTGCCTGCTCCTCCACTTCACATCTAGTTTTCCATATCTAATATACAAGCAGCTCGTCCGCAAATAAGTCTTCCCCGTCGTCGCTTGAAATATTGCAAATTGCTCTCAGTTGTCAAACGTGCTCGATCGAAGTTCATTTCGGATTCTTCCGAATCGAAACTTAACTCTGACTCCAGTGACGAAAGAGAAATGATTCTGAGACAAAACTTGGTCGTTTTAGTCCCAAAATATATTGGAACGATTAGTTTGGTTTTCCATTTTCTCGAGCAAATACAGAGAGCTGACTGAGGCGCCATTGTGTTTGGTTCCTGGGTAGACGTCATCAGCAACCGCCGCCCCAGACTCCCTAAAACGCGGTCGTGCAACACTTCAAGCGCGACCTTGAAAAGGCATAGAAAATCGAGGATTCAACCAAATTCAAATTTTTTTTTTCGCCCAAATGCTTCGAATAACAAGTGGATTCGTTTAAGCGAAAAAAAATTTTGGGGGTTAAGTGCCCTTTAAAAGAATGAGAGGGAACGATAACGCGATTGCTCTAGTTAAAAGAAAGCCGAGAACGTTTAACCTACACCGTTACTATGTTAGATGTTTTTGAACGTTACTGTTCGGGGCAAATGCACTCTATTGATAATTAAATGATAGACGGGGGGCATGATTGTCTTGATATCTTTAACAAGTAACTAGTTTAAGTAATTTATTGGGCTGATAAAATCGTCAAATGTATTGTAAAGTAAAATAAATACAGTTAGTGTGTATTGTAAGTAGATTAAGTACATTAATACCCGTCTCTTTGTAACTCTGATTTTGACTGTGGGTATTGAATTTTGTCAAGTCTTGCTGTTAATAATGTCAGTAAAATATGTTTACACATAGTCCTCAGTTGCAAAGTTACCTTTCTCGAAATTTTGCCTTAAAGGGAACCTTTCACTATTATGCAGACCTTTGGAGCAGCAACGAAACATTTAATGTTGCAGGAGGGCAGACCGTATTTGACACACAAGAGACCAAACTGACTACCTATTGGGACACACCCTTTACCAAGATCTGTCTCGGAATGAAAATCCACGGCGAGGAAAATATCAATTTTCTCGTCGTAAACCGTGCAGCTGACTCTTTGTACTCGCTGATCGCTGACGGACAACATCGCGCTACGTCACTGGGTCGGGACACTTGGAAGACGCTGATTGGCTCTCGAGCCTCCTTACAGCAGAACTGCAACATGGAAGGTTTCAACGCCGTTTGTTCTATACAATCTCACAGCAAAGTAAGGATCGGTATTCTTGCCAACAATGAAAATGATTGCAAGTTGTGTGATTCCAGAATTGGGTTTGGTACAGAAGGATATCCTGATGTTTCAAACACTTGTGGAAACGTGGCAAAACACTCACCAGATAATGGAGACAAGTACATTGAGGCGATGGGTTACATTTTTATCACTAAGGCGTAGATTCCTTCTTTAAACCTCGCTCATCTAGTTTGCCAGCGTTATAAAGTAGTTTTTAATGTAAGGCCACTGACATTGTGGTCTCTAGATCCTTAAAATATCAGTTACATAACCAGGTAGCTACTACGATCCTACCAACAATAGTCAAGCATATTAGCACACGTTCCCATTCTCTACACTACTTCGTGATTACAAACATAGGTATCTCTTTGCAGACCATAGTCGAGTTTTTTCTAGATCTATCTAGGTAAGTGCATGGTTGCCTACTTAACTATTTGCCTATTTGCCAGTCGCTTTCCTAGAGTATCAAAGAAACAAAGCGTCCAGCAAATAACATTCCTTAAAAGTTACCTGTAAAAAAATAATTAGAACTACCATAATTAACTTGCAAAAAAAAAAAAAAAACACTGAAAGAGCGCGACGGCTGTACATAACCAACATGAAAGCTGATAAGTGCCGAAAAATCAAAGATAGTTTGTGTACTGGTCTACTATATTCTACCATTTATTCATCTTCCAAATTAAAAACGCACGAGATAACTCCCTCTTGTTCCTAATGTGTGCATGCTAGTTACGTCCTGAAAGATTTTTGCCCGAATTAAGGACGCGCAATGCCATACCGGGTAGAAATCAACACAACAAACTTGCGCTCGGGAAGCAATCTACTTAGGATGTAAACATTTTAAAACATGCCAATCAGCTAACCGGCCAAAGAAACGTTTTAGGACTTTGATTTTCCTCATGTACTGTATTTTGAAGGAATACAACAACGAATAAGTGAGGAATTTTAATTTCGTTCAAGGTGTACGTTTATGTAAAATTCCTTCTTCATGAATTTCAAACTTCAGTTTGAATCAAGTAAGCTTCAATCATACTAGATTTACCGAGAATTATTTCTGAAGAGCAGGTGCATCTTTTTAATATTGTTTAAAATCGACTGATTGATTTCACAAAGCGTCGTTTCAAATGAAAATTGTAGAGTGGTGAGTGATTTTGTTTTCCACGAGTTAAAGCTGGTGACTTTATGACTTACCATATACACACTATAGAATTTGTACTACTTGCAAAAAGGTTCAAGCATTATTTTCTTACGACATAGCGGCACATCAAAACAGTAAAACAACATAGCAGTGGTAATAACCAGTAGATAACAGCCTGAGCCAAGGCAACGTCCATTGGTAAAAACTAGCGATAAAAAATTAACTTTGTCAACTCTGTTTAGCCTTTCAGAGCAAACGACCTTGCGAAACGTATTTATTATTAGTGAGCATGTTTAGCTTTTTCATCAGCCCCGTTCAGTTTTTCTTGTTGTCTTTTTTGATGCCAAAGGCCAGCTTTGTTGCCGGTAAGTTCAATTTCCCCTTTCAGTACTCTTGCCTATTTTCAGAGGACGATACATATTTTGCGAGGAGAGTTTAAAATTGTTTAGGTTACACCTTCTGATTCTCCCCACGGAGAACGACAGAATGTCGTCCGAATACTTCGATAAAAAGCAAAACCTTCCCATCCCATCTATCTCCTCGTCCCATTAGCGATGGTAACTGCAAAGTTACGGTAAATAATGTTAAAACCTACAGCTTGAACTCGAAATTGTAAAGGCTGGTTTTTAAGTCAGTGTTTTTTGGGGGCAAATGTCTTTGTTCTTCACTAAAAGCTCTCGAGCGCCTGTACTTTTATAATTGTCACTGTAAAAACTTGGTCCACTTACCGTTCATATATTTTTACTTTCGACTTTAAATTTTAGTGACAGATGGAGGGAAACAAATTATGAGCTTATCATAAAGGTCGATTTTACTGTTTTAATTAGTCTTCAACTACAACTTTGTTATACCTTATATTACTTAATCTCAACTGACGGTGATGTGTGGCTGTTATCGTAATTTTTCTAAAAACAATTTCTCATTTTGAAGGTTGCTTTGCTAGGGTTTGCCTTGAACAGTTAATCGTACTTTACTGTCATTATCTATCGTCTACTGCTTTACATCGGTTTAAGTGTTAGTGAGTGTTACTTATTTATGGGCCTGGCCAATATCTAGCAATCGTGTCCTGATATTTGGTAAATGATTCGATATAAACCATTAGTTATTATTTATTTCAGTTCGCCTCCAGTGTAGCCCTTTCTCTCGTTTGCATGACAATGTAGTCCAACAAGGATATGAGACAATCTCGGGCAGAAACTACAAAATTACCCGCAATAGCCTTTTCACGATTACCTTTGCTCATTTGCATTACAATAAAATCTAGCATGTGTGTGAGGCAATAGACCAATTTCGATATATTAAAATTCAGCCTAAGACAATAGACCTAAGCACGAGGCTCCGGGGAATAACTACAAAGTTTGTGGGGTTTATTCCCCGGAGCCTCGTGCTGGGATCTATTGTTGAAGCCTGAATTTTAATATATCGAAATTGGGCTATTTCGGACTATTTTGTAGTTTTAGCCCGAAATCAGAGCCTCGTATCCACCTTGGATTACATCGTAATGCAAATGAGAAAAATTAACCGTGAAAAGGGCTATTGTCTCCCATGTATTTTTGATTACATCGTAATGAATATGGCAAAAGTTATCAGCGAAAACGGCCATTAACGGCTATTCATAGAGGACGATAAAATACGAGACGGAAACATAATTATTATAATTAAGAATGATTAATTAATGGTGTAAGAAGCCGCGGGTCGCTCTGTTTTATTTGCGAAATGGAGAATTCTGTTAACAATTTGAGCAAATTCATTAATAGAAGGAAAAATTGTTCAATTAAAAGGAAAATAGATTGGAATTGAAGTTTATTCCGCCACAGTAAAACGACTAGAACAACTAACGAGTTTATTTTCAGTTGGATGTCAACAGCCTTCTCTTCGTCCTGTTGCTCTTTATGTTAAACAAGCTTAAACAATGCACGGTAGGTAGACAGGTAGCTTCACCGCGCTTGTTTACTGGGCATTGACAGATATAAGAAGACACCGTCGACGTACCGAGATTTGGACTAAAAATGGCTAAGGGCGAAGACCCAAATGATTCAACAAACAAAGGATAGGAATCTTAGTACATTGCAAACCCACACCCCTGGATGCAAGCGTACCACGTGCATTAAATGAAGAATATCAAAGCACAGATCGACACAACGTAGGATGATTTTTTTAAAAGGCGTACTGTATTCGGCTGGCCAATCCTTCAGGTACAAAGGGAATTTTACAAGTCCCATTGTACCTAAAGAAGTGGTAACATAGAGGCCCTGTTAGGGTGAATTCCGACAGGCGACACGGCTCTGAAACGGCGACATGCATGAAGGAGCTGAAATGACGAAGAACGACAAGCCGCTCAATTACGAATGCGAATTAGCCAGAGAGTGCTTAAAAATCTCCAAAAAAATACCTTCAAAGAAACACAAAATAACTGGTCGAGCGTCAAACACATAAAAAATCAAAAAGTTTATTTTCTGGGTCTTTTTTCTCTCTGTATTCCCATTTGTGTCGCAATTTGCAAGACCATTAAGCCTGGTTGATAATCATCCGAAAAAAAAAAAAGAGGAAAGAATTACGTGCACGCGTTTACGTTAAACATTCCGTACTTGAACATTTTCCGATATCGATATTAGTGGCTTTGGACGAAATACCGACAGCGAAATGAACGTTCTGAAGGTCTGAAACTCAGACGGGGGACAAAAAGACCACCAGGCCTAACAGGGCCTCAATATAGCATTCCTAGCCTTAAGAAAAGAAAACTTAAGTTGCATTGACCTCTGCTTTTATATTTTTCATTTATGTTTTTCATTATGAGCCTATTAGATCGCTATTGATCCAACGTATGTCAGCAAAAAAATCGTCTGCGGTTGCTTGCTTTAACCTTTTTTTTATCGAATGTTTACATATCAATGCAATCATTGTTATCAATAAATAAAACTGAACTCTATTCGTCTATCGAGCAAATATTCCCCTTTCTGATGATTAAGTGGTTCTTGTTTCCGCTGGACAAAATGATCTCTGCTCAAGTAAGGTTAAACTTAAAAGGTTTCGTTTTTCTATTTTCATGATCAGTTTGCCAAACTTCATTGACACCAGTAGGTCCTAGAACTCAACCAATTTCATTTCTTGCATCTGATTATACCAAAGAAAAGGACTGAATATGTCAATGCAAGATAATAATCACAACTGTGGAATGAAATAACTTTTGAAAGCCTTCGAGCTTGTAAAATATATCAAGAGACTGTTAAGTTCAGAAAAGTATAATTGAGGTTAAGACTAAATTACATCCAAGAACCGTTACAATATATTGGAAATATAACACTATAAAGCCTACAACGTGCAGCGCATGCCAACTCTTTTACAGATCAATGTCGTGACTTGGATCCGGAGTTCCCAGCCGAACAAACATTGGAGAGCAAACGTCTCGTAAATCATGTGATTCGGGTTCACGACGTCATCATGGCGGACTTCTGTGATGCGCTTTGTTACATGGAGCACAATTGCGCAAGTTATAACTTGATGGAGAAGAGTGAAAATGAAGGACAGAGATGTGAATTGAATAATTCTACTCATGAAGGAGATGAAAATGACCTGGAGGAAAACCCAGATTATGTGTACCGTGGAACAGAGGTAAGAAATATTTAATACAAAATTTCATTTGTCATTGTGGAAGGATGCTAGTTCTTCAGGGGAAGAAATTGCTTTTAATTCTGAATTCGAAATCCCTAGACTCTTAAATTAGCTGAGGGTAAAAATTCAACCGAGCTATATCATGCAGCAGTTCAGTCTCGATATAACAACTCTACACAGTTTAACCCTATCTAGGCTGTGCTTATTTCTTTGTTCGTTAGCCTTGATGGGGGTGGGGAAATGGGTCTGGGTTTTTTTCCATCCCCTCATATATCTTCAAAGTATTAACACATTAGAAACTACACACTTTTAAATTTGGAAGACATGTTTGAGATACTCCGTATCCAACATTAACTTAATATTAATATATAATAATAATCAAACGAACGTGGCATCCAAAAGAATGCTAAGTACTACGCTATGGAGGTACTCACGTATCAATCAATACTTCATACCACTGAATAAGTCAGATTTCAAAAGTTCCGCCACCTTGGGTTTCAATTTTTTTAAAACGAATATCCGAACTAGTCTTCAAATTTATCAAAGGAAACAAACGCAGAAA